GTGTGTAAGTCAGTATGTGTATGTATGCATGTCTGTCTGTGTATATTTCAATATGTATGTATATGTTTGTGTCTGTCTGTTTGTGTGTGTGTGTGTGTGTATTTATGTCCTTATGCGTGTATGTGCAGTGTGCATAGGAATTCGTTCATACTGTTTATTGTCCGGCCCCCAACAGTGTCTGAGGGACCGTGAACTGGCCCCCTGTTTAAAAAGTTTGAGGACCCCTGTCATTATGTATGTATATATGAATGTATGTCTGTATGTATGCATGTATGTCAGTATGAATGTATGTCTACATGTATGTCAGTATGAATGTATGTCTGCATGTCATTATAAATGTATGTCTGTGTGTATGTGTGAATGGATGTCAGTATGCATGTATGTCAGTATGTATGAATGTATGTATGTATGTCTGTATATATGCCATTATCAATGTATGTATGTACGTGTGTATGGATGTCAGCGTCTGTATGTTTGTCTGTATGAATGTGTGCCTGTATGAATGAATGTATGTCTGTGTGTATGTATGTTGGTGTATGTATGTGTATGTCCTCATGCATGTGTGTCTGTATGTATGTTAGTATGTGTCTGTCACTATGTATGCCTGTGTGTCTGTATATATGTGTATGTCTCAGTATGTGTGTTTCAGTATGTATGCCTATATGCGTGTATGTCTGTTTCAGTATGTGTGCCTGTTAGTATCTGTCTGTGTGTATATGTGCCCTTTTGTATCAGTGTGTGTTTTTGTGTCTGTGTGTATTCCTGTGGGCGGGATTGGAGGCAGGCCCCAGGGGGCCCAGACCCTGAGCTGAGTTAGGGGCCCCAAAATTTCTGGTGGCGGCCCTGGCCATAGCACCTGGTGTCCTGAATTATGGGGAAACCAAAAGAGCCATGAGATAGGTCACAGGCTGTCTGCAGAACTCCAGGAACCAGAATGCAAGGTACCCCGACATGATCCATCCTGTTTCCTTTCCCCTTGAGACAGAATGAAGAATATGATTTCTAACTCTCTGGTAGCCCAGTGTAAGTGAAGTGATGTGCATATTTTGTAAAGTGTTACATGTAACTAAATAAAAATATATATATTAAGAAAATAAGTAGTTCATACTGTGTATTCCTCACAAGGGCCCTAGCAGTGTTCACTGCAGCAACTAAACCTCACTATCCATTATCCCAATTCAGCTGAGATTCTGGGCCTGAGGGCAGCACTATCACCATGTGAGGAGAACACACAGAGATACAGCACTCCCTCAGAAATGGTGCAGGGTAGACAGAGGAGATTTAACAATCTCCACAACTGGCCAAAAGTGGACACTACATACCACACTACATACCACAACTGGCAAATAGTGGACACTTCCTACCAGTGTACCAGGAGACTGCCTTATTTGCCCAACGGTTGCAATTGCACTGCATCCATCAACACAGGTAAATGTTTAAACCATTTAGTTTTTTGTTTTTTATTTAAAAATGTAATATAGTGACACCGCGGCGTAACGGAATATTTTTTCACTCTAAAGAACTTTGTTTGATAAAATATTTTTAGAATAAAATAATTGGTGCAGACACTAATGCATATTTATTATAGTAACCCTCACTGGCCTTTTGTACATTAGCGTCCCATATTTCTGCTTCTTTGGGGGGGGAAATTGCAATCTTTTAATAGTTATAGGTTTAATCTTTTATTTATTGAGTAAAAAAGGACATAGGGTCAAGAAAGTCAGAGACCACGAATAGAACAGAACATATATAACAAGAGGGAGCATTTCACAGCTTCTGGACATAACAGTCTGCATTATTAAGCTCTCGTAAAAGCAAAAAAGGAATCTGCAATGCTAAAAGCATGAATTTCTTTCTACACAATCAATTTTTGGAGGATCGACGTATCAGCAAAGTTCTGTCTTATACAATCTAATGAGCAGTAACAATGCCTGTGATTCATCGGAAGTCACTCTCGATATCCTGAAATTTTAAATGAGAACACGTACTATAGAGGTACAATCTTATCAACGATACCGTCAATAGTATAAGAGAGACTGATGCAAAATTCTGCATTGACCCTATGTCATGAACAAAAAATATAATTCAAGAACTGCGCTATTCACTTTAAGTCGTACACACTGGGGGTTAAGCTGATTTAGAATGTTAGTTTGTATACATGTTTCAAAATAGTTGGCACTGGAGTCAGTAAGTTGCAATGACAGGGATAATATATACTGGATAAAGCAAGCATTTTTGGAATTAAATCTGCTTACTGTAAATACCGTAATGATGCAAGAGATGTAAAAACACTGATGTTGGCATTAAGCATTAAGGTCAGTTGCTAGGATTAAATAAACACTACTGTTGCTTCATGAAAACAGAACATCAATCCATCATCTTCATTTACAGATTATTAAACAGGAAGCAATGCACTCAAATGTTTGTTTATCATCTCAGTGCTCCCTGATAGGAGCATTTTAATTGGAGCTTATAATGGAATATATTGCCTTCCCGACAGATGGAAATTCGACATCACAAAGTTGTTTTCAAAAATTGATTTGTAATACCAAAAGAATATCATTGGGCGAAATGTAAATCAAATGAGATCATTAATTTATATGTCACTTCAGATTTATAGCATGTCACTAACTAATACATTAGGGATCACAGGCGGAATGTCAGTCATAACGTAATGAACAGACAGACAAAACTGAATTATTCATGTTAATGCCAGTGGGTTGTGCCATTGATACATTTAAATCAGTGATAGCAATTGCAATTAATTTTATAGCTCCTGATTATTATATCCCACAAGGAGGTCTTTGTTTCTGTCTGGCTTCACGTTAAGGTGCAAAAACACTTTTTCTCAATTAATGAAAGATAAAACAATACATTAACTGTGATAGAGACCTGTCAATCACAAAACAAGAACATCTCCCCTCCCTTTTATCTCTAAGAATTATTAGGTTTAAATGGTATATATTCCACCAAAGTGTCAGCGCTTGTAAAAACAAACAAAAAAATTATATATTTAGGGCTTCTAATCTTTTTTTTTTTCTTTTCATTTGCCTAGTTGTGCGAGATTGACAATTTCGGTCACGAATGGGCATAGTTTGGTCATTTTCCTTCGAAGTGTCTGCCTCTCAACATTCAGCACCAGAAAGAAGATTGACTAGGGTAAACGGCAAATATCATGGGGCAGATTTTACTGTGCATTTAAATTCTAATGCCTGCTAATCCATGTGCTCGTGTTGGTATAACTTGTTATCCATCGTTTTAACTGTACACACAAAATTGTACCAAGTTGTGTCAGGGAAGCACGAGGTTGTAATTGTGTGAACGCTGTACATGCACATCACAACGGACAGCTTGCTTGGTAAGTGAAATAATATAGACGACTCTATTCTAGAATGTCCACCAAATACTTCATGTCAGCCTGAAAATCTAAATATTGCTTTGGTTGCTTCCTGTCATGCCGTACTTATAAAGTATGTAGTCATCCCCAGTGTTTGTGTATTGATTGGGGATAGGCAGTGAGCCTTGGAGGGCTCCGTTGAGTACATAGTCATTTTCCCCATTGGTCCTTGGCAGGATTATTTTTTCCATTGGCATTGTACACTTGTTATTCGTGAGTGGGGTACATACATCTAACTGTAATAGTGATTTTTTTTCTTTTACATTATAAAACAGCCATCTGATAGTAAAAAATTAATGCATTAGTATTCTACCATCTGAAGTGGTTCAAGTGCCACCCAATTGCAATTGGTTCAATTGCGATTCTTAGCATGCAGCAGTGATTTCATCATCTAGTCCATTACTGCCCTTCTGACTGTTGAGACGCATTATTGAAACTCAAGATCTTAGTAGAATGCATAATTATTCAAGAAGCCCTCATTGGCCTTTTGTGTGTTAGTTTCCTATATTTCAATAAAAATATGTGTCTTATTGTATTTCAAGATAAATGTATGTCTTACATTTTCATAAATGGTGACTATCGTTGTTGAAGTCCATAAAAGAATAGAAATTGTCCATGAAACCTAGTCACATTATTTCATGCACTTAATGCTTTGAAAGTGCAGTGAGGCTGTATGAACAAGGTCAATCTTCTTCCCCAGTGGGACCTAAATAAAGCTTCTGAAAGAGTGATTCTACAACTCTGAATATGTATCAGACAACAATTCAAATATCTCTGTGATACTGTGACTGTTTTTTTTGATTGCTGTGTTCATGTATAGGTAGTGACCCTCGGAGGGCTCTGTTGGGTCCAAAGTTGTTTTTCCCCATTGGTGCTTGGCAGGATCATTTTCGCCATTGGCATTGTACACGTGCTAGTCATAGGTGGGTTACCTAATTCTGTTTTCACTGCATTGTGAGCTGGAGTTGGCTTACCAGAATCACAGGAAGCAGAACTCACATATCATGGCCATCAAACATAAGCTGGTATAAGGTCACTGCGTGGGTTTTTAGTTTAATCTGTTTGGTTGAATGCCTCACCACGACTTTTCATGGAAAAAGCAAGTACAGAAAACTTGGTTGAACAAACCATATTTTAAAACATTGGTTTTAGACAAAAATGAATAGCATTTCATAAGGAAAAGAATATGGGCCCGTTAAACATTTAAGGTAAAAAAATGTGCATTAGGGTGTGTAGGTATCTCTGGAAGCTGGATCCTAAGAATTTAATGAAACGACAAACAGACAGTGGATGAAATAAAACAAATGCAATAACTGAAGTCCTAGTATTGGATGCCTGCAAAGGTAGCATGGAAACATAAATGCAAAAACATACATAGATCATAGGTCAGCAGGGCCGCCACCAGAAATTTTGGGGCCCCGAACTCAGCTCAGGGTCTGGGCCCCCTGGGGCCTGCCTCCAATCCCGCCCACAGGAATACACACAGACACAAAAACACACACTGATACAAAAGGACACATATACACACAGATAGATACTAACAGACACACATACTGAAACAGACATACACGCATATAGGCATGCATACTGAAACACACATACTGAGACATACACATATATACAGACACACAGGCATACATAGTGACAGACACATACTAACATACATACAGATACACATGCATGAGGACATACACATACATACACCAACATACATACACACAGACATACATTCATTCATACAGGCACACATTCATACAGACAGACATACAGACGCTGACATCCATATACACATACATTCATAATGGCATACATTCATAGTGGCATATATACAGACATACATACATACATTCATACATACTGACATACATGCATACTGACATCCATTCACACATACACACAGACATACGTTTATAATGACATGCAGACATACATTCATACTGACATACATGCAGACATACATTCATACTGACATACATGCATACATACAGACATACATTCATATATACATACATAATGACAGGGGTCCTCAAACTTTTTAAACAGGGGGCCAGTTCATGGTCCCTCAGACACTGTTGGGGGCCGGACAATAAACAATATGAACAATTTCCTATGCACACTGCACATACACGCATAAGGACATAAATACACACACACAAACAGACAGACACAAACATATACATACATATTGAAATATACACAGACAGACCTGCATACATACACATACTGACTTACACACACAGACATACGTACTTACATACATACATACTGACACATACATGCAAACATACATACTGACATACATACATACATACTGACACACACACATACATACACACACATACATATTAACATACATACATACATACTGACATACATACATACATACATACTGACACACATTACATACATACATACATACTGACACACATTACATACATACATGCATACATATTAGCATACATACAGTCATACATATTAACATACATACATACATATATACATACATATTAACATACATACATACATATTAACATACATACATACTAACATACAGCTAATTTTGCTTACCTTTCTTGCAGGTGGAAAGCTGTGGCTGATGGGAGTCAGCGTGGCTCCCGCGGCCTGGCTTTCTTCCCTCCCGCACGGCACGGAGGGGAGGGAGCTGGGAGGAAGTGACGGCCACTTCTTCCCAGAAGTACTTTTCGGCTGAGATTTTTTTAAAGGGGCCCGGTCGCGCAATTGCACGGCCGCAGCTCTGACCGGGCCCCTGAAGACACATGGCCCATCGGGTGGCCCTAAGTGCGTGGGCCACCCGATGGGCCTCAACAGCGTGTGGGCCCCAGTGCAACTGCTGCAACACGTGGGGCCCGGGCGCCGTGACAACCATCATGGTTGTCACCCCCTGATGGCAGCCCTGTAGGTCAGTGAACAGAATAATTAACCCAGCAATGGCATGGTACTTTTGAAATGTTCTGTTTACACACATGAAGTCTGGAGGGAAAAATGGAAACTGCAGATTATCATTATTGCATTTTAACATTGGTGAAAACATTTAGATTACCAAGATACTGTAAATACTGAATCCTTCAAGGCTTTCCTTCCCAACTCTGTAAACTTGTGTTAAATTTTGTAATACTTTTCAAAGAAAATAAAACATAATCTAATTATTGATTGGAGGATCTTCTCGTTTGGTTGCACATGCCTAGTTCCAGTCTATTGATTCTCTATGAGATTGATGGTGATGTCAGCTTCAATGCTGACATCACAGAAGGAGGAGCTGCAGGCACAGAGGAGGAGGAGTCTCTGTGCTGGAAATAGGTGAGTAAACTTTTTTTTTTATTATTATTAGCAACGGGGGGTGATTTCCTATAATCCCAAACTAAATGTGATATTTTCTGAATTGCAGGTTTTCGTTAAAGCAAGTATGTAAAACTCAAAGTCTGGCATGGGCCACATAAACAAGGTTTAAGTTTATGTGGGCCGCAAAAAAAAAAAATACCTTAAATTTTCAAGAAACGTAGGTTTATTTTAAAAAGTACAGTATAAAAAAATAAAACCGGCATCCCCCTCTACTAAACCGCAGCACCTCCTCTACTAAACCACAGCACCCCCCTCTACCACCTTGTGCCAAATCTGTTACTCCCACTGACACACACGTATTCACTGACAGACAGACACACACATACAGACAAACTGACACCACACACTGACACACACACACACACTGACAGACACACACATACTTACTGACAGACACACACTGACAGACACACACATACTCACTGTCACACACACACTTACTCACAGACAGACACACATACTCATAGGCAGACACACATACACATACTCACAGACACACACACAGGCACACTGACACACACACACTGACAGACATACACATACTCACTGACAGACACACACATACTCACTGACACACACACACATACTCACTGACAGACATACACACACACACATACAGACCTACATACAGACACACACACAGACACTCACTGACAGACATACACACACTGACAGACACACACACAGACACACACTGACACACACACACTGACAGACACTCACTGACACACACTGACACAGACACACAGACAGACACACACACACTCACTGACACACAGTGACAGACAGACACACACAAACTCATACACTTACACATTCTTGCACACACATACTTTTCATTATTGCTGCCTACTTTTTGGAGCCGATGTGGGGCATCTCCCTGGGGCCCTACTATCTGCTCCTGACTGCTCCCTCCCGCGCACAGTTTAGGAATGCCAGGTGCCGGAATATGACATCATATTCTGGCACCAGGCTTCACTACAGACGACGCGTGTGAGGGAGCAGTGAGAAGCAGGAACCCTGAGCTCCCTCGCTGGCCCTCCTCCCCGGGCAGGGTAAGTTTTAGCAGAGTAGGCACCTGCAATGTGGGGAAAGTAGGTGCCTACTCTGGTATAACACCAGCATGTACTTGCGGCTTGCCGGGCCGCATAGATGTCCCTTGTGGGCCGCATGCGGCCCGCGAGCTGTGAGTTTGACATGTTTGCTTTAAATGAAAACCAGAGATACAAATGACTTGAGCACTATCCCAAATCCTTATGCACAACAAATATCTGGAGGTTTTTTTAGTATATTTCCAATGGCCATTAAAGTGTAAGCTCATCTGCCATGTCAAGGCAGAACCTCTAAGGTGAGTCCAAAACTACCAATTCACAATAATGCTTTCAGCTGAATGGTACATTTTCAAATGAGACAGAGAGGGTTATTTGTCTAAGCCCTTACTCACTTATTAACCCTTAATAGGGAACACGGGTAGCAGCACTATAACATGGCTGTGTTATACAACGGTAAATACAAACATACAAAATTAAGCCCTGCGCTCAAACTCCCACTACTCCTGGAATGGCAGCAATGACTATGGTACTCCAAAAACATACAATAAAAAACAAACTGGAGTTTTTTTAGTGTCACTCCAATGGCCATTTAAGTGTAAGTTTCATATCACCTCCAAGTATAAAGGAGGGAGAAATCCTGCCTTATGCCCCTACCCATGCTGCGGCTGGGGTATGTCTACTAAACTGTGTGACTGCTCACTGTAATTACAAAAATAATAATCACCTCTGAGGATGTGGCCTGTAAAATACCGGGGGGACCTGACATAGATAATCCCATGCCCCTACTAAGCTGCCCCCTCAGCCCTCTGCCAATGAGCAGTGGGTGGTGTCCATTATTTAATAAGGGGGGTCATGCAATTGTCCTCCTAACCCCCACCTATGGGAAGTGGTTGCTGTTATATAAGCCCCCACCAGTGGACTTCAGGTTGGGGATATTAAACAAAAGGGGTGGACATGCTACTGGTACAGTTTAGTATCCCCTTCCCAGTTAATATTTAGAGCCCCCACCTGACCCTAATTAGTGCGGGCTGGGAGTGACGTTGGAATATCTTCTTCAACATCGTCTCAGTTGTGTTCAAGTGATCAATATTCCTGCGTTCGACGAGATTCTCTGTGTTCCCTCATGGAGGGAACATTACTATATCCCTGGATAAAAGTAGGTGTAAAAACCTACACGTCCCAGGAGATCCCTAAACCAGTCCGAGATGAAATCTTAAATATTTATTTATGGCTCTTTTTACACCTACTTTTATCCATTTACATTTTAAGAGCTTTGATGGGAGTTTTTCTTTACTAGTTGAGACCTTTTACCAATCTATTCCTATCCCTATTCTTACAACTTTCTCCACTCTCTAGGGCTTGTTGACTCTACCCAGTATACCCATTACTACATCCCTACCGGAATTCGATGCTTCATTTCCTATATGGTATTTGCATTCATATGACTGTATTATATTGTTTTCACTGTTAAATGTCTGCATTTATGTTGAAGAAAATCTTGAAAACAAATTGATGAAAAAGAGTTGACAGCTTCTTGGCAAATATTCTAGCAATTGTCTTCTTGGAATTTGTTATCAACCTATCTTTTACCATTAAAAAAATATAAAAGTCGACTGTCTATATGAGCATCAGAGGATAGAAGAACATGTAGTTTGTTCCATTGGCTCACGAAGGGTAATGTCCCACTCACACAGCTTACAAAATCTGTTTTGTATTCTCGATACAGACTGTCAGCTTGATGTTTTTCTTGCTGAGTCACCCAGGCAGATGGAGAGATTGCAAGCTTGTACTGTACAAAACCCACATAATCCTCTAATGCACCTTCCAAACAATCAGTGTTATGTATAATTCCTATCACATCCTGGTATGGCAGACCAACAGAGTGTTACGCACTGAAAACACATAGAGCTCTTCACAATCCAGGCTTGATACAGTGAGCAAGTTAAGACAAATACTGTTTAAAAGACAATAACTGCAGTTAGCCCTGACAATGCAGTTGGACTGCTACGTAATGTGATTCCATGTGCAGGATGCAGAACAATGCTATCATTTTATTGTACTATGGTAGAACATGTAAACTCTACTACAGAGGTGGAAAGGTGGGAATTCTGGCTAGTAATTAACTCTGAACTCTAGTGCTGCACATTATGAACCACTAACCCAGGAAGCACCTCTAGTAGCCGTCTGAGTGACTGCCACTAGAGGTATTACCAGGCAGCAATGTAAACACTGCCTTTTCTCTGCAGGAACATGCTATAGACACCAGAACCATTACATTAAGCTGCAGTGGTTCTGGTGACTGTAGTGTCCCTTTAACAGGGATATTTAAAGTGAAAATGTGAAGTAAATTCATAGTGAATTTAAAATGTAAGTTAAGAGTAGCCATGGAATATTTGCAGTTTGGCTATTTTGTCCTAAAATTTGAAATTCACTTGGAATTGTC